CCGGTACCCGGTACCGGGGTGCCCGGGCCGCCGCCCTAGACGCGCCCGGGGCGGTGGGGGGTGGGGCGGGATCTGTCCCGCACATAGTCCCCGCAATCGCGCCCCCGGCACCGTGCACGGCCGTTATACTCGTCTACGATAATAACAATACTAATACCGATAACAATAACGGCGGCGGCCGCCTGTTATAATACTCTCGCGATTCGTCACCGGGGCCCCCTCCCTCCCCCCCCACCCCATTTGTTACGCGTCGGCCGCCGCGACGACGACAACGATAATAATTTTACTATCTGCGGTTCGGATCCGACAGACGACCGGCGGCGCGGACGGACGGACGGACGGACGGACGGACGGACCGGTCCGACCGACCGACCGACCGACGGCGGACCGACCGACGGCGGACCCGACCACGGACCCGACCGTACGATTGTCTCGGCACACGGCCGTCTTGAACAAAGGCCGTTTCGCCGTCCGCGCGAGCCGCGTCGTTATAACGCGCCGCGTACGTACGCGGTACACAATACGAACCGCACCGCGTTGCGGCCAAGAAGCGTGTACGATTCGCTCGGTAAAGGGGTTTCGTTGGCGTTTGAATTTTTATTCTCGCGGCGTCTCGGGGTCCTGCGGAGTCTTTGCGGCGGCGAGGTACGCTCGAAATTTGATCATCAACGGTTCGCCGCAAACGCGTAGATTGTGCTTTGAATGCTCGTGTCCCGGCTAAAAAAAAAAAAAAATAAAACGAGTCCCTTGTCAAAAAAATAACATTGCGCTGAGCCGTTGCAAGCTTACGAAAAAAACAGTTTGAATGCGGCGAAGAATTGTCCAGATTCGAAACAGTACGTATTTTAGACGGTCGGACTATTGTTGTAGGCGAGAAGTTATGAAGGTAGCGAGGGGAAATGTTATGTATATTTTGTACGCAACGATTGAACATTGCTAACGAAAAACGATTCTGAGCGGAGTTCGGTTAATAGCGTTGCTTCGTCAACAATATTTGTGTAACAATATCGTAAAATAATTACATATGCATTATGAATTTTCTTTAATGACATTTGCTTAATATTGTGTTTATTTTTCCATTTTTTTCCTCGGGTTTTTTTCATTTATTGAGAACTCCGGGAAAAATCATAATATGACCTCATTTAACTCCAGTCTGATTTAATTTCCAAAAAAGTGCTATCATTATAAATCGAAGCGAAATTGCTGGAAAAAATATTGTTCGCGTACGGTAGTAACTAACCTATAGCTTCTGCCGGATCTGCAGCAGTGTTTTTACAGATCCAAAACTAGTATTTCTCTGTAGTCTCTGTTTAAAAATGAGAGTTATCCGTTTAACATACTGGCTGAAATATCTAAATCCATGTCGGTGCTCTAAAGACTCGCGGTTATTGTATACGTTTTTACTCTGACACAGAAATTATAAACTGTGAGCTGTCTATAATAATCAAATCTTGAACAGGTATCTGAGGCAATGAAAAGTTTCGGTAGGTCCATCTCCTATTATTTTTTTCAGTTTTGCTCAGTTACTGAAAAAACTACAGGAAAAATTTAAAAAGACTTTCTTAATCGCCAACTAGATTTAAAAAGGTCTCCCGTCGTTTTTCTCGGAGCAATCGAACAATATCTACGGTAGAAAACATAGTTGGAAAAAATTAAAAACCATGAAATCGGTTACGCCGCGACACGGCGCTCCGTAAATATTTGACACTATTTGAGTGTCAGAGTTCGCTGTCGCGAAAAAACTGCTCCGAAAATTTATGTTATTTTAAATAACCGTTTAGTCTTAAAAATTTGCGAAAATAATGCTAAAAGTATGTACTTAAAGATTGACTGTTGACAGGAAATTGAATTGCTAACCCGGGGGTCTCTTTAAAATTCAACAGCAAATTTTTACGTCAACCAACCCCGGACTCCGCTATGTATTGTATTATACAACGTTAAAATGTCCATTAGTCTTTCTAATTGTATGCTAAATATGTCAATTTAATCTTTAAACAACGTGAATGTTTATACATTCGAGTTGTTCGAGTTGTTTATGCCTAATTGCGTAGGCATAAAATTATGATTAAGAAAAAAAAAAAAAAAAAAAAATTGAATTAACATACAAAAAAGCTATAATTATGTATTTATGTTAGTTATAACGCGGTCACGTTGTTGATAAAATGGAATATCCGGTAATATTGTCGCCTGACGAAACATAATTTCCCTCGTCCTGTGATTATATTACACGCGTAATAGGCACCTGTGTTATAATATACGTACGCAGTTCACGTATAAATTATGTGAAAATAATGTAAAACGGCGACCGAAAAAAAAAAAAAAAAAAAAAAAGAATCCCGATTAGAGGATAAACGGAATTAATATGATTACAAATTACAATATGAATAATACATAATATATTCCGTATTGTATACATACTATGTGTATCGTAAACGGTTATCGTGTTAACTTGGCCGTGTATTCTATTGCTGCGCCGCGTGGTCGCGCGGTCTGGGTCGTATTTAAAGGCCCCCCCCCTAAAAAAAAAAAAAAAACCTATTTCTTAAAATGTAAGTTGTTTTTTCACGTGCAATTTTGGTCCACAGAAAATTCAGCCGACCACCCATACGTATTATGCCACTCTCACTAATTTAATATTGGCAAATTAGAAATACATACAATATACACTATACGCAATTACGTGCGTTTTATTATTGTCAAATTCAACGATTATATGATCATAAAAAATTTGACAAAATATATTATAACTTGTTATGGGCTATAAATATTAATAATGCATACGTTATAGTCATTTCACAAATCTCTGGAAAAACCAATGTTAAATAGAAAAAATATTTTAAGAAAACGACGTATTGTTTCGAAATCGATTTGTTATTAAATATTGCATTTTTTTTTTTTTTATTAATAATTCAAATTTACAAAAAAATATTTAAGTAAACTTATACCTTTTTTCCGCGACTGAAGGTTTGAGAACAAAGTTATTGTTTTCAAACCGTATAGTTTATAATATTCTTCATATTGTTATCCGGCAAATTGATGAAAACAATATACATTTTTGAGCTGTAATAACTGTTTTTAAAAAGATCGTAAAATCGTAAAATTATTTTACTTTTTTTGTTTATTTTTTTACGGGCAGTGGGCCCAATATAATTCACGCAAATTCGTATTTGCATTAGATGCACTAAGTGAGTGTTACACTTACCCTGCTTTACAAGCAATAATTCTTAAATTTAGGTAATTCTGCTTAAATAACTTAAGAATATAATAATGTACAGATAATAACAATGCGAAAATCGTGATATAAGACATGCAAATACGTAGGTACATAATAACAATAATAACAACGTTATTAATATGTATCAGACAAGTGAGGACGCTCATCGCTCAAGTCCTATCAATTGGCTGGTTTTTGCCGTAATTAGTGTTATGAGCTGCAACAGCAAAGGTATCAGATGACCCGGCGGGACCGGAATATACTTTAAAACTAACTTGAGAGAGTAGGAAAGGATCGTCAATACATCTATCAATCAATTTACGTAAAGAAAGCAAGTCGGCCTCAACTCTTCTATCGGCTAAAGAAACGAGACCGAGTACGTGCATAACGGGTTGGTAGTCAAGCGGAGGATGGTTAGTTTTCAGAATTTCAGAATAGACGCTGCTGAGTTTAAAAATCTTCTCTCTGGACACGTTCAATTAGTGAAGAATCCACAGCCGCACAAGGGTTCTATAGTGCTGAGGCATACTCTACAACGGAACAGTAGATAGACTTGGGAGACGAAAGCAACTTAAATTCCTTGGTCGAGCGTAA